CCGTACGCATTGTTGGAAGTGATATATGTAATAGTGCTATTATGTATATGTAATTCGTGGAGATGTTAAGCTCTGTAGAAACGGGGGTTTAGCGGCGGTCAGTTCGGTGGAAGGTAGCCAGACGGATCAATATCACATTACTATAAATAATTAATAGGCTGCTCCGTTCCTATGCGTGCCCGCGTGCCTTCTAGCCATCCCAATTTCCCGGGCTTACGATTCGACGAGATGAAAGCTTAAACGAGCGCGACAATGATCAGATTGTTCGGAAATAATAGATAAATTGATACCGCGCGCCCGTCCGAATATTATTACTTCTGATTTTGATATTTATCGTAGATCAAATATCCTCGTCGTTTAGCTAAAATTTTTGTCCGAAATACTTTACTTTTGCTTTTTAATTTCGGTCATTATTTTTTTTGGATATTAATATTTTACTTGGTAATTATTTATTGGTAATTACTCATTGACAATTAAAAAACGCTGTCAATATAATTGTACGCACATTACGGGAAAATTGTGTTCTTGTTCATTCTCATGTTTTTCGCCTTTCTTTCTTGTTTCCCCGCTGTGTGAAAACAAATCAGTCTTTCGAAATGCGCAAGAGATACGGCGGTACGGGGCCATGTTTGCGATCTCGTCCGCCATTCCTCCGGAATTGCTCGGCGTACGTCATGCCGCTTCCGGGAGTGCGGCAACGAACCCTGGGGGTACAATAAAACTGCACCTAAACAACGTGAACAACGGAGGTGGGAAGAGATGTGGGGAGGAAGGCCGGATAGAAGAAAAAGAGCGAAAGGCATAGTTGGAAGAGAAGAGAGATTCCTCGAGCTGCATCGTTACAGAAAAAGGTCGGGTCAGAATGGGGTAGCAGCGAGAAGATTGGGGTCGAGGGGTACCCGGGGCTGGGAAGGACGTGATCGCGTTAACAACAACCGCCGAGAAAGGTGGGCGTTTCGAGCGATCCGGTTTGAATAAGTAGTTACCGGCCTAATAGTAGTGCCGGACTGTGACGACCGTTGAATTCCGAAATTTCTGCCAAGCTGAAACGTACAAACGCCGAGGAGTAGATTGGTTAAAGAAGGGGCGAATTCTGCGCGAGGGTTCCGTCACAGAGGGACCGACACAGCTTGCGAACCTAGTTTAGGACATCAAACCGCCATAAACACCTTGCTCGTCCCTACAGATTCCTGTTATCTCGTGCATGCCCGTCGGATAATGCGTGTTCTTCTCCCTTTGATCGGTCGCCGTCTCCCTTCTCGCTCGTCATTTCTCATCCTGTCCGTTACACGTACGACGAGATATCTCTAGAAATGTATATATCGCAGATGCAACTCGGTACATGTACAAAAGCTACCAACTGTATAGAACTTACAACTGGATTTTATTTGTTAAAAAAGACATTTCGCTCGAGGAAATGTATTGAATATGATTCTTGTGTGATATTCGGTTTTCCTTGACCCGAAATATTTAATGACAGATTTTTGACACGCGCTATACGTGCGTTTTTCTTAAACAAAATTTGAGAAACGTATTTTATTGATTTAACGTTAGAAAATTGTTGAAATATTTTTTTCACAAAGAGTGAATTAAAAAAATACTTGCAAGTGTAAGTGCATTTCTCTCGCGAAACAAAGTTTTTTTGTTTTTTTTTCCAGCGGCGGCCTCAATTTTTTTTCGCTTCGCCGATCTAAGCAAGACGAGCAGGAAACAAGCGAACGCGATGTAGGATAAGATCGGGGAAAAAGTCAGCATCTTTCTCCCTTATGTTGTTTTTCTCTCTTTTTCTCGAAATTACAGAAAAATGAACGTTGTCCGTGGGCATTTTTCTCGTTCACGAAGATATCAGTGAATTTCCGTACGAGACGTGGGTTATCAAGGGTTGCAATTTCCGCGATTTCCACGCTATCGTAAATCCCCGAAGCACACGAAATCTCTTTGCAATAATGAATCCGTCGTTGAAATTGCGGTAAAACATGTCTCGTTCGATTTCGGGATCAGGTTACACGCGCTTGATTCGCTCAGTGGGTTATACAAGTCTTATCAAACTGCAAGTAAGCACGCTTTACAGGGGCGGCTGCTTTTTGCGCTTCCTTTTAAATTTAAAACTTTCTTTCTATCGGGAAAGTTACACCCCTCGTTGGAAATTTTATCTTTTAATCTTCCATTTTCTAGTCTAGTCTACTATGTTAGCCTCTCTCTATCCTTCACGAGAAAAATTATTCGCTTCGTAAACATGGATGCTTATGGGAAACAAACTTCTCCGTACTTTCTTTATCGAAACTTCTGGCGAGAAACAAAACTAAAGATTGGAGGAAAAAACATCATTTTAGTTTTTGTCACATGGAATATACGTTGGACAATAAAATCTTTTTTTTTTTTTTTTTCATCAACATTTTAGCTCCTTGTATTAGCGTCGCAATGTTGACGGAAATCATTTATAGCGCGGATTTCGTTGGAAATCGCTTTTTTTAATGCAATGCATTGTCGTCGTCGTCGTCGTCGTCGTCGTCGTTGTCGTCGTCGTCATACAAAACGCTATTAAAATAGAAAAGATCTCTTTTCCATAGCATTCAATTTTTGAGCGTTCTAGCGTTAAGGCGCTTACAGGCGTCGAATCCGCGACGACGTCGGCAAAACTCGCTGATGGACGCGGACCTTAATTCCATCCGGAAACCGCCTTTTTTAAATGCAATACGTAATGCAAATAATAAAAAACCAAAAACCATTCTTCAGCATCGCGACGGTGCTCTCGTGGACGACGGTTATTATCTCTTCACAAATTACATCGAGGTAGCGTAGCAGGGCTCACGGTCTCAGCCGTGATAAACCCATCCACTTCTAACCCCTCCTTTCCCCCATTTTCCCTCACCCTTCTCGTCTTCGCGTCTCTGTTATTTTCAACCGCCCCAACTTCTGATATACCACCTGCGAACCCATTTACCCAGCTACTCTATGTACGTTAGACAACACTTATTACCCAGGTAATACAATCGCATAATGCGTCCCCTCGTCTTTCGCGCCCATGATAATGCCTAATTTAATGGCAAGGAGAAGCATCGCAATCTCCAGTCTAACGAGAGATTGTTATCCGGATGTTACGCGCCGTCGATCAAATTAATATACAATTATGATTAAATCGATATCGCCTGTCCGACCTTGTCTTACCCTTCGAGAGTTAATGGAATTTATGCGACAGGTTATATCGCACTTCGAGTAATCGTTCAAAGAGACTTGCGTCGCGCCGAGTCGACCCAAGTTTTCGCGCTTAATTCTCTCAGGATGAGAGAGAAATTCACTTGAGAAATAAGTGTATTTTTCTTTTATAGTTCACTTGTTTCGCATGTAAATGTACTATCGGTCGACGAAATGAGCCATGATGACAGAGAGGAGAGAGAGAGAAAGAGAGTGACTAAACGAGAAACTAACGAGGAAAAAGTTCGGCAGCGCGTAAATACAAAAACAAAGGAAAACGTCCGAAACTTTGCGCGCGAATGTAGAATAGTTCGCGGAGAGTTTCAACATTTAACTATTTTTTATTACAAAAACTGAAAAACGTTAAAAAAGAACTGACTTTTAACGGTAAAGGAAAAAACGACTTTAAATTAGGCATAAAATTTAAGGACGTTACTTCGAATTCTTCTGTAATTTAAAACAAAATTGAAATGCATTTTTTTATTTTTCGAGCAATGAATATGTATGTGTGTATGTGTGTGATTAATTAATTTAAAAAATATGCAATTTGCGTGCTCGGAGAATGTTGAAACGTGAGTATCAACCGCTTAATGAGATCGTGTGACCGTATCACGTGATGCTGCCACGTCTCGATCTCCTTTGTACGTGCATCTAAATGCGCGCGCGCACATGCATACGCACTCTGTCGCGGAATACATTGTGCGTGTGGACGCTTCGCCGAGAAATTGTCGGAACGATCGATAGTCGAACGCAACGAGCTGTTGCAAGTTATTGACGCGACTTCTCCGCGTCTCGGCTGACGTTCGAATCGACAATTTCTTGGATTAAATCCGCGCAATTGTTTGAATGTATTATTTTTATATCCTGTCGACCCATGAGTCGTGTTTTTTCTTTCGCTAAGCTACGTTTGAGAAATGTCGAGATTATTTTCTCTTCGTTACACAAAGCGACGCCGAAAGTGTACGAGTTGTTTTTTTTTATTGCGCAACGTGCAGTCCTTGGAATATTCACGAAATATTTTCACGAAGAAAGGAAATATAAAAATAAAAAAAAGAGATTTCTTTTTTTTAATAATAAGGTCGCGAGAAACGTTGAAAGCGAAATATAATTCTCCTTTAACGTTCTTCATGAGAATTTTCATCTCATTGCGAATTATTCTGTACAGCCATTCAGAAGCGGAAAAAATTCTCTACGAAAGAAAGAAAAGTTCTTTAAGGAATTTATTGAAAGACTTGGCGCGTGGTGAACTAGATATTCCACACTAGGGGAGGGATGGGGGAGTGTAAAAGTTTCCTTTAACACTTTTAATACATCAACGAGGATGAGGCATTTAAAAATCCGAGATAAAAACACAGGGGACGAGCGTTTTATTTTATCTCGAATTACTGTTTCGAGTTGAGCAGACCGCGGAGAAGAGACAATTAAAACTTGAAGCTGAAATAGCACCGTCACCGTCACTTGGACAAACTGAATTCTTCGGACGACGGAAAGCTTTCTTTAGTTGGAGCAACAACTCGCTCGGCGAAAACTTCTCGTGATAATGTAAAACGCTCCGTTGGTGTAATTTTAAGGGGTACTTATGCATTCCTACCTACGAATATATATCGAAATCACTATCAACTCTCTTCGCAGAATTAATACGCAGTAAAAATACAGAAATTCCACTCGAGAAGGAAATAGAATTACATTACTTTGAAAATAAAAATGTGCGCTTTTAACTGTTGTTCAAAAAAGAATATCAAAAAATTATTATTTTTTTAACTGCGGCAATATTTTTATCTATTTGGTTCGCGTTTTAATTTTAGTGGAGGAGACCGGAACGCAAAACACGACAAGCACGAACGGAGATGGAATCGAAAATTCCGCAAGTCACGAAGCAGGTAAACATCGACTAGCTTGTTTATGTCAGTTTGCTCGTTACAAAACGTATTAAAATAATTGTTTTAATAGACGAGGAAGAAGACAACGAAGATGACGAAGAAGAAGAAGAAGAAGAAAGAGAAACCATTATCCAGGAGGCTGACTTTAATTTGAACGAATTTTTTCTCAGGTGCTACACTATGTGACTGATGTGATTACAATACTAGTTGCTTCTTTCATTTCTAAATAAATATTTTGTTTATTAAAGATTCGCCAACGTGAAAGTCGTCAAAGCTCTGGCTGTGTTGCTGCAGCAATTCGAGAAGAATACGACTGAGATAAATCATTACGTATTGAAAATGCTTCATCGAATCGCTTGGGACTGCAAAATGCCAGCCATGTTGTTCCAGGCATCCATATTCCGTACCTTTCAAAAAGTGCTCGAGTCGAAAAACTCCGATCACAAAGTAACGAGATATATATGTTGTTTAGACACATTTGTTTTTATTTATTTTGCGAAAGTAACAAAACTACCATTAGTCTCTCTACGTGCGAGGGTAACATCTGACACTGCCTAATCCAATATTCTTTTCGATATCTCTTCAACATGACGCACTCTTTTTTCATCGGTTATCCCGCGCATATAACAAGAATACAAGATAAGACTTTTCGGCCGTTCCTCGAACGATAAAAATCCAGTTCCCTCTTTCTTATACGGCTGGCGATAAATTCCGCCAAGCTAGCTTTTATTGCGTCGTTGTATCGGGCGTAATGACCCACGGAAGTGGACTCGTCGAGCGGGTGAAAAATCGATATTCCCATGTTTCTCAGGAGCTCCAAAAGTTCGCGGTCTTCATAATCCACCGTTTCGCCGAAGTCGCCCAGAAGAACCGGAAATCGTACATGGAGCTGCTCTTCTGGAAGACCACCCGCGACGCGACAGAAATCATGGACGGGTACAGCGCGGAAACGACTAACAAGAAAGTTTCGAGAGCACTCTGGACGGAAGCGGAAGAAGACGAGCTGCGTACCCTCTTCATGGAGCATCAGACTAACAAATATCCCCAAGGTAAACTCTTTATATTACTCGTTCAGTTTTCGTATATGAAAACATGTATGAATCAACATATCGTTTTATTTATAATAAATGTGCTTTTTACTGATATTAAAAGCGCAAGGTAAACATTCATGAATGGCCATCGAAACACTCGTATGTTATTTAAATTTCTAGATCTGATTGATTGGTTATTGGACCATTTGATCAACGAGAACAGAACGCGCCGTACCGTCATCAAGAAACTCAAGGAACTACATTTGATAGTCAATTCTAAAGTAAGTTGTATTTTTCTTTTAAACAACCTGGAATTATTACTTCTAACGTTTTTTCGTGTGAAACAAAAACAGTCGCAAAAAAATGTCGCGAAGATTTTACTCCATTGTGTCAAAAAAAAAAAAGAAAAAAAATCGGTCCATCCGTATGATCCCACGGCAATCCCCGCGCTTCGCCTGCCAAGATCAATGATTTACGAGGACCTCGAAGGAAGACGGGGGGAAGAGAGGACCGTTCTTGCCCCGTCCTAGAAAATAAGTTTCTCCAGACTGCCTTCGCTGACGGGGCAAACATATGCAAAAAATGGAGCCGGGAATTGCTGCAGGAACTGTAAATTCTCCGGAGACAATACCTTACGGGGGTGGAATTTTCCACTCCTCCGTTTCCGCGTTTCTCTTTCGCCTATGGTTTCCGCGCGAGACTCCACGCCGCACCGACGACGTGAGCCGCGTGTTTCTTTCTCGCCCAGCCCAGCACTTTCCTTTCTCCGAGCATGGAAATGTCTCTGTGTGCATCCTTCCTCGTCAACTCGCGCGGTCCTAAAACCGGCGCCTGCTCGGGAAAAGCTATCGTTTTGTTTGCCTTCTGCCTTACGACATACGTATAAACATTTGCATCGCTCTGGGATACGGGAAACACGAGGAGAATGTGACTCGGGACCGTTCCGTTATGTTTGTCAAACTGTAAACGCGCGTGGTAAATGTTTCCAGATATTGTGTAACTTTTGTCTTACGGGGAATAGTGTGCGAAGTAAAAACAAAAAATAAAAATATCAAATGTGTGTTGTATAATTTGTAATTTAAAAAATTATACGTAACTCTGGAGCTGGAACTACGTTTATCTTTTTTTTTCTTTTTTTTTTTTTAAATTATTAACATCCGCTAAAGAACGGTCAAGGAAGACAGAAAAAGAGGGGGGAGATATATTAATCTTACTAAACTCGGAATAGCGTTTCTGTTTTCTTCCGTTATAGCTCTTTTCTTCGGAAAATACACGCTGCAATACGGTGATAAACCATGGGAATGCGTTAATCAAGCTTCTTATTGCGGCAGTGGAGTTACTAACTAGTTGCCGGCTTATTTAAAACTTGAAATTAATTGAGTTTGAAAAGGAAGCTTCTCTAACAAGAAAAAAAAGAGAGAACGCAGCGGAAGATAAGCGATGCAATACACATTATCGGATGTTATTGCGCTTTGCTTTTTTTTGCAAAGCGCAATAAGACGAGACGTGGCAAAAGAACTCAACGAAAAAACGTTCTCTCGTTCGGCGTGAAAAACGTTCGCGTTTCTGACGAAATCCGACAGTCTTGAATAATTATTTTGTAACGAAACGCTAATCGAGATTGTTTACGATCCGCGTTCAAAGTACACAATCCTTCTCACGCAGGTCGTTGCTAAAATTTCATTTTCTTCTACGTCTGACGCAAGTAATTATTTTGCTTAAAATATAAACTCGGAACATGATTAATTCTTTGATAATGGCTCTCGCTGTTAACCAGCCACGGTACCCGGTAGGGGAAAAAATCTATTTATCTCTTTCTCTTTCTCTCTCTTTCTCTCTCCCTTCTCCTTGATCTTGATTTGCTATTAATCATAGAGTGCGCAGTCACCGGCGAAGAGGGTAGGCCCTCACGTCAAGGGAAACGTTTCTCCTTCGATATATTATCAATTCTTTTGCAAAATCTTCGTCGGCGAAAAGGCTTAGAGCCACGCGCGCCGCGGAAACGTTTCATTTGAATAATTTCATGCGTGAGTACGTTTCGTCTCTACGAGTGGTCGAAAAAAAAAAAGAGAAAAAAAAGAGACAGAAAGGTAGAAGGAAAAGTGAGAAAGAGAATGAGTGAACCAGAGACTACAGCTGAGTGTTCATTTGACATTCATTTAGTCCGTGGAAGTCGCGCGATATTGCTCCGACGGCCATTTAGGGACGGTCATAGGGAGCCTCAGCTCTGTCGAGGGTGGAACGTAATCACTGGAAAACGAGGGAACTTTTCTTTTTTTAAATACGCCTACTGACTTGGGACCCGCTGCTCCTCCGAAGATAATACGCGAGACGCTTTGTCTCATCAAGCGCGGAGATTAAACGTACGCCGAGTACTTTTCTGAGGATTATGGAGATTGAATAGTTAGGTGTTAATTTGTGTGTATGTGTGCGTGAAGATATCAATATTACATTCAAACTTCGTAATGATTTTGTAAACATGGTTATCAAGACTATAACTTTATTTCACATTAAAACTAATTTGCATAAGCGATTATCGTTTGTGAGAATTAATGATTACATCGTGGTGTTTGTTATTGCGATGCGAGTGTTTTTGCGCGAAATTTAAAGTAGAGCTCAATCTTCATCACGAACAACGCACTTACCTCGTTCTCTTAAATCTTGTGATTAATTAGGGCGTGCGAGCTGAGATACAAAAGAGGTTACCTAAAGAATGGTCCGAGGAAGAAATCGCCCAGCTTACGGAACTTTGGACACAGCTGAAAGACGATGATGGTAACTTTGAAGAATATTTTCTTATAAAGTTCTTTTCTTATATTAGCAGCCCCTTTTTTCCTCAATTTTTCTTTGTTATAACGTTTATAATTTTAGTTTTAATTGCTTTTTGTCTTAAGTTTTTTTTTTTTTTAATATAAATTAGGTCGGAGACGATCAACTTTCAGATTTTTTTTTGTTTATTTACTTCCCGTGCGCGTTTCCGACCATTAATTTTTCTGCTGTCGTTAAATTATTATCAACATTAAACGCAAAAGTATTAATTACACGTAAACGGGCATAAAGAGCAAAGTTTACAGCTTGATGGCAGTAATATAAATTTACGCAAGACCCAAGTACGTCATATTGTAGTAACTGACGTATTTCGTAATTCGTAATTTATCCCGCCAAATCATACACGCTGGCGACGGCCTTAACCCAATTTTCGATATAAATTTTCTCGATAGAAATTCGTCGTAAATTTCCAACGTTAATTCCAGACGGTTACTCGCGTTCCGAAACTGTTGAAATATTTCGCGAATGCGAAATTCGTGCGAGAATTCGTTAACACCGGAACGATTCCTAGGATTTAATTAAGCTCCGAACATCGGACACGCTTGGCTGCTTGTAGTAATAATTTCGAATCCGCTGGAACGAACGAAGAATAATATCCTTCCTGACAGAGACATTTTCAGGGAAGTCTTGTAAAACTTGTTTCATTTTCATACGAATTCGCCGGGTCTCCTCTCCATAACTTTTAATCTTCGAAGTTGCTTCCACGCCAAGTGTAATTCTCAGATGTCCGCGAAATGTCAAGGGCATTTTTCTTCGTCTTTCTTTCGAAAAATCTCCGCAAAGTGTTTTATTTTCCCTCTCTCCCCCCCTGTTTTATTTTCACTCCGCAATTAACCCTTGGAGCTCTCAATGGGAAGACAAAACCCCCGCAAAAACTTTCAAGTCCCAAGAGAGACAATTCTCTCGCCAAATTAAATTTATGTCACAACTTGAACTGATTATCTAAAACGGTTTACGATTAAACTCGCTTTTATAAGTGAAAAGTAATTTTCAAAAAAGAAAATCAAATATTGTAAGCAAGATGATATCAAGAGTGGAATATCCGGTGACGCGTAAATATTTTATACACTCGCGTGCAAAATAAAGACGAAAGAGCTTCCTGTCTCTTCGTCAACTTTAATTGATTTCAAGTTTAAATCCTCTTTTGAAATCTCTCTGACAATCGTTTCGATCTTCCTTTGTGCGCGCGATCCTCCCTCGTGGAAACAAAACACTTTCATCCATCTGTCCTTCATCCGACGCTACGTTGCTTCTTGACGACGTCATAAAAATCGTAACTGCGCTGTGTCCCCGACAGATCCCGTGGATTTGATTTTCACCGGTCTTAGAATAAAGCGGCCCAAGCCGAAGATCAAGGAGAAGCTTTTGGAATTAGGATTGGCGCAGGATCGCAAGGAGCTGCGCAAAAAGCGAGCGAGAAAAAGTAACCGGGGTGAGTACACCTATTCGTTTCTACCGCCCTCATCACGATCACGGTCTGAAGCATCCCTTGTTCCGACCAATCCTATCCCATTCCATTCGCATCTGTCTTTCTTACTATCCTCCAATTCCGCGACTATTCCCATTCGATCAGTCTTCTAGTAACGCGATTGCCGGCGACTGCATAGAGCGACTCGTTTTCAACGGGAGGAACGGTGAGAGAAAGCGGGCACGGGGGTGGAGCGGGAGGGAGCGAGAGGTAGGAAGTGAGAAGGAACAAAGATCAATTTGTACAGGGGATTCTTCTCGCTGTCTCTTTCTCTCTTTCACTTTCTCTCTCCATCTCGATTTCTTACGTATAGAAACGGAGGAAAAAAAGACCTTTCGTCGATATTACCAACGGAGACACACAAGTTTGCTCGTGTGTTCGTAAGATTGTTTCTGTTTTCCTGCTGCGCATTACTCGCAAGAAGCATTACCCGGAGCGAGCGCGAAGAGAATTTTTCGTTTCGCTCGTGCGCGAATTATTCGTCGCTCTTTGATTTCCATTTTGCAGAAAGAAAACTTTTGTTATCGCTGAAATAAAAAATCGCGTGGATATTTATAAAATTTGTTTTTCTTTCGCGATATTAATTTCAAAGATAAAATCAACATTGATGAAACAAAAGACACACATTAATTTAGATACGTGTGCGTGTGTGTGTGTATTCGAAAACGTTGATATCGATATTGCGTATAAAAATAGTCATATACATAAACATTCGTTGTATGTGTTTTTATTCAATTATTTAAGTGTTGCAAATCTCTGTGTTTGCACGCGAGTTATGCGATAATTTGCGTGGCAGAAATTATTTAGAATCGGAATGCGCTGTGAACCGGATACTATTTCGGCGGTTTAACTATATCGAATTACTGAACATACACACGTATATTTGTGGTATCTAGTAACAATGGGAAAAATACTGTACAGAGTTCTTTGGGAACACTTGAATGAGTTTATTTGATATAGAGTTAAATGACGTTATATTTTTTACACACAGTTCTCAAATATCTGAAGATATTTTATTAAACATCTTTTTTTTTTTTAATTACGCAACATATCCTTTAGCTCTGTTCGAGGTGCAAAATGTGTAAAGAATTCGTAAAACATTGTTTTATTCCCTTTTCTTTTTCCGCGTGTAATATTATTTTAAATTCTCTTTTAAAGGAGCAAACTTGTGTGTGTGTGTGTGCGTTATCTACTTTTTCCGTTTCAGATTATCTTCTAGAAAGTAAGATTCGCGTTTTCCCTCTTTTGATTTTGCCTGCCTGTTATAAAAGTCAATAATGATATCGTCATGGAATATCAATCTCGTTATTTAATATCGGCTACTGCGAATTCCAGCCGCACTTTCGCCGCTCTCTTGTACCAATACCACTCGCCTTAGCTTCCCATTACGGTGCCGGAAGGAATTTCATATTTATCATGGATATTGTTTTCCTCTCTCTCTCTCATCCCTTATTTGTATTCAATGCATTGAGATAGCTCATATCGTAGATATACAGCTGTGAGATGAAGCATTGCCGAGAAGTTTTAGTTTGCCGTATGTGTGTCTTTGAAATAACATTTTCCCTCAACGTGTCGTGTTTTGATGCAATTTTGCTAGCCATATGGGACTATCTCTGCGAAAATGCGATTGTGTTTTTGTTACGAATAACGTATATATGTATATGTGCAATTAATCTGTCAAAAAATATTCTTCTCCTCATACGAGCGTACACACACATTTGTATTATAATATGTATAATAATTTTGTTTTCTTTTTTTGTTTTTGAGAATTAATATGAAGAGAAGATTAAACTCGGAGAGTTTTCATTTCCTGTTTATTAAAAAATAATATTTCTCAGAAATGGAAATAAATTTATATTTTTTCGGTTTTGTGGATTAGAATTAAATTTCAGATTCTCCTGTGCTTTGTCGTGCAAAAACTCAAAGAAAAGCTTTACGAAACTCCCGGGATTTATAGATTTTTTATACACATTTCGAACTGAGCACATGTTTATGTACGTATTACGCTTAAGATTTATTTAATGTTACGTGAAATGCTTTGTACACATCTACACACGCACACACGTGCGCGCGTGACACAGCGTGTGGTCGGTGCGCTTTAAACACGCTGATGAACGCTCCGCTCCCGAGAAAGGTTCACATCGTTTCCATGCATTGTGCGCAAAGGTAAATCGTCGTGGGAAACGCAAGCTGCCAGTAATTCTGACGGGACCGAAAGTTCAGCCAGCGACGAGGACGGCGAAGAAACTCGAAAATCCTCGAAGCGCGGTGGCGGCGGCGGCGGCGCGTCTCGCCGGAGCGAGGAGCCGACGAAAAAGAAGCAGCGTAACAAGCGACGGAAGCTACGGGCGATCGTTTACACGGATGCACAATTATCCGGCCTCCTAAAGGACGTCATCGACAAGGGTGAGTACCGCTGTCCTCTCACGGCTTTCATCCCGCGGCTGTCGACGTGCATCCGCGTTTTTTTTGATTAATGAAAGCGCACTTGTCGCTTCTGGAAAACGGGGCGCGTGCAACGTCTCGGTTTTCCCCACGCAGGATAAATGTTCGCGTCCATCCGAGAAAAGGGACGATGGCGATGATTTGCAGAAGCCATTACGCAAAAAAAAAGAAATAATGACTTGTCAGAAAAAGGGCTTCTCTCCGCTCAGGTCACTGTGCGAGTACGTCACGTTGTGGGTTTCGCGAATCCCTCAAAAAAAAAAAAAAAAAAAAAAAAAAATGAAACGGCAGTCGGTTTTTGTGCAATTTATCAATTTAATCCAGCCATGCGAAATCCACCCGCGTCCTTTAATCCGCGAGTAATGGATCCACAGCAATTTATAATATTTATAATGCGTCCGACAGTGTGTTGCAAAAATACATTTTACACTCTGAAATTGTCTCTCGAAATATTATCTCGGTAAATATAAATATCGTCGGAGAGAACGCGAAAGACCAACAAATAACACGTAAGCAACTCCATTAGCGAGCAAAATTGAATTATTAATCGTAAAAAAAAAAAAGGAAAAAAAATACGAAAGAAAAATTAATGTGAGAAAATCTGTTGAAAAAAATCGCGCAATAAATCAGACATGAGAGAGGCGTTGGAATGGATCAGGGAATCCCTGCAAGACGTTCTGGACGATCGTGACGAGGAAAGCACCGAAGGCGTACCCTTGGTGCCGCTGACAGATTACTCGGCGACCGCGATGGATTCACCGAGTTTTCAAAAGCTCCTCCGCGCCTTAGGATTTGTACCACCGGCTGACGCCCAGGAATCTTATTGGCGTATTCCGTCGAATATGCTTACGAACACTATTCAGAAACGTTGCAAGCTCATTGACGATGTTTTAGCGGGCACGTTTGTAGTCGGTGGTAAGTTAATTAGAGCGAGTGAAACTTTTGAATGAACGTTATTTATTGAGATGTTTTGTTAGAAACGCTACTGGAACCGCATACGGATTATTCTGACACTGATGAAAAGGCAGACGACAGTGAGGATGACACTGACGTGTTTGAGAATGTTAAAAAATTCTTTGTGGCGAAAGGTTAGCATACAATTTTATTATATTATATTTTATTTTATTTATTATATTATTTTATATTATATGTATTATATTTTTTACAGTTTTATTATATTATTTAACAGTTCTTTTCATAATATAATATCAAGAATAATTTTAAAATGATTGCAGAGAGAGAGAGAGAGAGAGAGAGCGCTCGCTTTCTGTCTTTGAATATAAATAAGCAATCACAGTTTATAACATATCATTAATATATATAAATATACATACATGTTAAAATGTTCATAAATATTTTAATGTCTTTAAATTAAAATCTATATACACAACATATATTAAAATATATAAGTTTTTACACGGATGTAAAATATGCATACATATATGTATAAATATTTGTAGAATCAATTTTAGAACCGAAACCGTCAACTTCTAAGCAATCGGAATCGCGTGCCGAGATTTTATTGTCGCAGAAATCTGAAAAGTTTTCAGAATCGAACGAAGAAAGTTCCGAAACAAAAGTTACGGAAAACATTAACGAAAAAGAAACCAGCGATGGAACGAAAAATATGGAAAAACGTGATACAGCAAAAGTTTTGGAGGAAACGAACAAAGGTATATGGATATATATGTTGATATAATATTATGATCTAATTATGGTTTTGAACGAGGGGAAGAAGATAGCATGTACTCGCCCTCTGTACTCCGCGTCAGCAGACTGCTGTTTTACTCCTGAATTTACCGACGAACGAATTTGTATCATTTATCGCGCGAGAATATTTTTAAATAAAACTCTTTCAATTTTTAAGAACCGTAAGAATATTATTATAAATATTTCAAACGTACAATGCGTGGGTTTGCTAAATAATTTGAAATTTTAGAAACTAAAAAAAGCAAAGTGAGAAACCGAGCACAGATACTCGATGATTCCTCCGAATCGGAAATGGAAGTTGAAAGAGACATCGATGATGCAAACGGTTAGTAACGTGTGCGAGTAAAATTAAAATCTATCGTTTGTTTTACTACGTCAAATCAATTTAGACACAGCACAATTTTATTTTATAATTTTATTTTCTAGACGATGTCAAAAGAAATAGATCTGATTCTTCCGATACGGATAAACCGTCCAGTAAGAAACGTCGGCTGCTGGATAGCGACGACGAGAAAGAATCATCAAAGAATGAAAATACTAAAGCAAATATCGATCGCGTAATCATCAGCGATGACGATGAATCAGGGTCCAATGCGCAGTTTAATCATCGGTTTAAATCATCTCGCGTAATAAGTAGCGACGAAGACGATTAAGAAAACGTTTGTTCTCTCTTATTTTAAAGATATCAACTAAAAGTTCATGCATCTTGATTTCAGTCAAATACGCAAGTTTTGTTTAAACAATCATATAAAATGGATACGAAATGTAACTTTTATTTTAAAATATAAATAAAATTTTATATACATTTGTGTGTATATAAGTGTGCGTTAATCTGAAAACAGGCATTGTTTCTACAGCAGTTTCGTTAGCTTCAGTTGGGAAGACAAATGTTCAACGAACATTTTTACAGGTATCGGCTTTATCCGCAAACGTTCTCGAGTTGGCAAGGTACGTATGCTACGAATTCTAAACAAAACCATAATTCGTCAAGGTCTCACGACCTTCTCCGTCGCGATACGGAAGGAACGCCAATCGCGGTCGCGCCCAAGATTACACTTCAAGGTACATAGAAAAACAGTTCCCGAAAGGCGTCCACGTTTCGCCAAGTAACGACGGAGAGAACATGCGAGCGTTGTTGGTAACGTCGGCTGGTAAACGCGCGTATCGTAACTTCGGCGCCGCGTGCACGCAAAGCCGGAGTTATTACCGCCGCTCGCTTTTCCCCGTAGCTCAAGATCCGTAGCCGCGGCGTCGTAGCCGGCGACTATCCTCCTCGATCGCATGCTCGCCTGCTCGATGGTTGGCCGTTGTGGATGGCTTAACTCTTTTGATGGGCAGGTGAGGAGTCTTGGCGAGTGTTAACGATACGTACGTGTGCATCGAGACGTGATCGTACGACGAAAGGCCAGCCCTCACCTTTTTCGATACCACCTTCGACGGCTAACGACGACACCATCGACCGTGGAACGACGCGTAACGCGACCTTGACGCGTAATACGTGTTCGGAGTGTTCGGTTATGCGATCAGGAAATTATGTCGGGCCAAGAATCGCGAGGGCTACCTAGCCGCGAACCTAGCTACGCGAATATATGTACGTATGTCGACGAAAACCTGAGCGAATTTACATACTACGTATATACGTAGATGGTTTTTTTTTTACATATGAAAGATAACAACGAATAAAATAACGAATCACTCGCTTATACTATAATAAAAGATATTGAATTCTCGTTGGTCTTTATATTTCTGATAAAAAAATGTATTATTTAAAATTTAAGCAATAATATATAAATCACAGTTGGAAACTAAAATTTTTTTTTTACGGAAGCAGCAACGCTGCTTGGACGGCGAGTAAAGATGCAACGATTGATCTCGGGAAGTTCCGTGCGCGCGCGCGTGTATGTGTGTGTATCTTCCTACGAGTGACACATCTTCGACGACGCGTGTGACTACTAGTGTCAATTATCGCTCACTCTCTATCCTTTTCTCGCGTTTATCCCCTCTCTCTTTCTCTCTCTCTCTCTCTTTGACGGACGACTTTATCGTCGGCAAGCACGCGGCATTTCCATGACCACGTGCATTCTAATCTCAACTTTCGGATGCCAGGCTCGCACGAGAGCGCAGGAGGCCGACACGTCGTCGCGACGAGTCCACTCGTGGGATTTCCCCAAGTGTCAAGGACGGCCGTGTCCGCCTGTTCTGTTACGTACAGACTTATTCCCTCGTGATAAGATAGCATGCGGCGTAGTTAGTAAAGCGCGAGCTCCACGCGTCTCATGCTTCTCGGATAGAAGCGCGGGCTTCTTCTCATTGGTCGGTGGATGGTTGGTTCACTCTCGTGTCCTCACTTCTCGCCGGTACTTTCACTCGCATATTACTCTCTCTCCCACCATATTCGACTGTCGTGTTCTTACTAGACTCGTGCGTACAACGTTGAAGAAAAAAAAACTCGCAGGCTAAATTAAAACTAAATTAAAAAAAAAAAACAAAAAAAGAAACAACTTACGCTTATTTATCAATTGTTCTATTTTCTATACATAAAAACGGTTTTCTTGATAAGAATTAGAGTATTTTATATCATGTTTTTTTAATCGATTATCACGGGTGTTTCGATACTACCACAATCAATCATTAATAATATAATTAACTACCATTCAATCATTAATAATAATCAATAATATTAAATCATTATTAATAATGGTTTTTTTTCTATATGTACAAGTGATTTTTTATATTGTAAAAACATAAGAATACACAAACAATTATTTTAAACTTAGCTCATTCATTCGCACTGGAGACTGTGTGCAAAAATACAGAATTTGATACTGCCATCGTGGAGATCTATAACGTGAATAAAAGATATTTTTTTTTTAACAAGCAAATGCCTAGAATTGTTTAGAATGTCATGCATAAAAACAAAATGTTTAGAACTTGCTGCAATATTTTACTTACGGCTCTAAAAGTTTCCAACGAGAGCGCGTAAAATGGACCGCCGGTTAAAACAATTGGTCTCTGCGCTCGTAAAATTATCGTTTGCACTAAAGAATATATACTATGATTTTGCGACTGTGTCTTGAAATTCGATTCTCTTTTTTTTTCAACATTTACAAGCTCCCATCCACAAGAATATACCGAATGCGAAATTTGCGTGCCCTGCGTATATAGAATTTCGATTGTTTTAATAATTACAATTTCCATATACGTCTTGATTTTTTTTCTTATTAGATACTTTTATATTATTTTCAACACTTTTAAGTCTATTATGTTAACTTTTGAATTCTTCGCTTTTTGTAAGCTGTACATAATATACTTTACATAATTTGACTAACCAGATGTTCGAGCCGAGTGGCATAGAAGCAGAAGAAATACAATTGAATATTGAGACATATAAAGTACTCGAACAATGACCATAATATTAAAATAGTTTCTTTGTTTATCTATTGGGATGAATTTTACAGTTCAATTATTATTCGAATGTGGTAGAAGAATGTAAAGTAAACGTGCGGTGCACATTGTAAACGTGCTAACACATGTGCATTGTACATCATCGAACATCTTGTAGAATAATTTGTACCACGACAATTGCCGATGTTTGAAATGAGACTAAACAAATGCCAATTAACGTTTCGATGCATTGCACGAACATTGTCGGACCGGTGAAAGATTGTAACATCTTTAGAAATCTAGAAGTGCACACACGTTTCTTAGAAAAGTTCGTAAGTAAGTAAGAACTCGAGTGAAAAAAACACAATTGCACAATTGAAATTATAATTTTACATTATAGTATTTTACATTATAACGATTTAAAGAGCTACTAGTAACGAAAGAATATTACTTTATAATCTCTGCGTGACAGTCCGCGCAGTTTTTCAATTTTTTCTCGAGTGTTGACACACTGCAAATTCAATATTTTTTACGTTTGCAATTGAAAATTTTTTATTTTTAAAAGCAATCGATATTCAATTGTTATTCAATATATTACTTATCAAAATTAGTCTTCGTTAGTATCGTGTTGATATATTGGAATTGTGCGCAAATAATCATCAGTATGGTAACGTAGAGACTGTCGTAACAAACGATTCCAATCGCGGAAGATAGCCCGCCGATTACCTGCATGGAATACAAACATATGTAATTGTAAATATTATCAACGTCCAGCGGATACCACGTTATGTACGGTAAGTTTCTTTTTGTCGACGTGTGATTCGACGTAAAATCCATTTCTGTCCATGATGTGATGAATAATGGATTGGCACACCAGTGTAGAATGCCGTAAATGCAAGTAATCATCCATCCCCGTATAAAGTAGGTAGAATATTGACGAGCGCGTTCCATTTGACTTCTGTATATTTGATATCCTAACAAAAAGAGAGTAATATTACAATTATATAAGCGAGTATTATTATAACAATATATAATTAGTATATAAATAATAGTACATAATAAAATAATATATATTAATATATTAATATATATTATAAATAAATAAATGTAATTAGTTTTTTTATACATCAAAAACTCAAAATAATTGTTTCACAATCAATAGTAAGTTACTCTTGTCATCTGATGTTTGTTTCTTCTCTCTTAATTTTTGTTTAAATTTAAAATTTAAAAGTCTGCTTGAGATACTGTACAATAGATATAAATCGACATACCATCCTCGCTATTGTCAATCCGCTGGCAGAGCACGTGGCATTTTTCTAACGTCATTACCATATCAACAATTATACCATTTGTTTTTATACAATAGCACCATTTTACTAAACCCACGGCGTGCATACCAATTACGCCAATGATATTAGCGAACAGTTCCAAATTGCATCTCATTGTGAGCACCGCAATTTCCGAGAGCAAGAGCAGAAAGTTCGCGCAAATAAAGATAATTGTCGCTCCTGATGAAAGCAATATTTTACACGACGGGAACGACTCGCCGTCGGGCCAAATTCGAGCATATTCCAACGTTACGAGCAAGCTCGCGATGTAATAACTCAAGGACGTCGCGTTCCTTCGCTTACACGTCTCGTCATCGCCGCTCTTGCAATTCATGCTTGAAAGGAGGAAAAGCGCAACCTGAAAAATCGGAGCAAAAAAAAAAAACCCTCGTGTAAGGCTGTGCGCAAAAAAAGGCGGTTACGCGCGAGTAAACGCGCAACATGTTTCGACTCTTGTTTCGCATATTCGCCGGATACATGTACACCGAACAATTACGTACGTTACGTCACACGACTTGAAAATTGCGTAAGTACGTGTATACGGTTCGGCCGTGAGATCTGACGATGCCGGCGCCTTATCACCGTTGGCAGACAGAAAACAAAAACACAAGATAAACACTCGGGATCGCTGAGAAGTTTATACAGCGGTGAATTCGTCACACGCTACACGATAACGCCTGCATTTCGAATTTCTCGTCACGTTTCGGCGATTACTAGATTTGTGATTTCTGCTCGAATTTACGATGTTCCAATTCGCACGTTACGCTTTTTGATTTTCGTGGTTTTACGGTTGAAAAAAAAAAAAATAATTTTTACGACGCTTGCGAAATAAGTCGTACACATATTGGCAAATGTGTGTCAACGTACGTATAAATCGTTATATTAATCAGAATATATTTTTTACAGCAGACTAAAGAGTTTTACACAGCACTTAAGAGGGTAGCGAGATCCAAATTCCGCTCGCAGCTGTTACTCTGGCCGGAAAGGGTTACGCGTCTTTTAGTCGTCTTGTCAGAGAGAGTAAGACAGACGTATCTATATCTCTCCTTGTCTGCCCGTTCTCTTTATTTAGAGTGAGGTGAGCTAATTGTGCTGTTTCTCGCGCTCATTTGTCTCTTGTTGTATATTACGAGGCGGCTGAATACGATCTCATGGCACATATTTCTCGCGTAAAAACTATGATTGCTTTTATTTATACATATGTATAAATAAAATGAAAACAAATATATATATATAAATTTATATACGTATGTATATGTGTACGTATGTATGTACTTGCGACAATATCCTCTGTTCACACGCGCGCGACCGAAGCGTTGCAGTTTGCGCAGTTCGCGCGTGTGCGCGAGAGGGTAATTTTTTGCACGGTACACACACGGCAGTGGTCTCCCCTCTTAGGAACAACTTACGACGAAGTTGGCCGGAAACGCAGGACGTTCTCGGCGATTGCGAGGTTGCGCGCGTCTCCCGTTCCGGATCCGGACATGATTTATGCAGGCAAATGAATGTCGCCGGCGTGTCATTAGACGACGGTTCGTTTGAAATGCAAATAGCATTTGCAGTGCGTATCCGATACACCCTCCAATTAAGTGTTGACGCAAACTTTTCCGGTGACACGGGCGAGCGGGCCGGCAGCAAGTTTCGCGGACGTTGCTTTGAAGCCGGATATAGATTCGTCGTAGAAACTGAACGCGAAACTCGATATCTAATTACACGCTCTCCCGAGCCGACTAACGGAAGCAAAGCCGGCTTCTCTTTCTCTCTCTCTCTCTCTCTCTCTTTCCCGCCCTCTGATCCTCCGGTTAATCTTCTGACCCCAACTTGGAACGTTTCCGCTTCGCCGACAGTATCGTTTCAACTGCACCGCTCGTTGCATCGAACGATGAAGACGGAACGGCGTAATCACGTTTCACTCTTCGTCTTTTAATTGAAATCCACTCGGACGTACTTTTCACAGTTTCCGACGCGCTCTCGAAACCTGTAGACGTCGCGAGCCGAACGATCGCTCAGGAAATATCGAGATCTCAAGTTGTTATTTCCTTCGGCACATAGATTGATTCTACAATAAAGATTCGTAAGAAATTGGAAAAATATGCTTTCGAAAAATGTAAGTAAAAAGAACTGGTTTGAAATTTCTCATCTTCTGTAATGGAAAAACAAAAATTTTTCAGATCTCTCGCAGTTTGGTTCGCGCTCGATCAAGTCTTCGATCTTCAGCCATTCTGAAAACGAAGATTCTTTTCGAGCAAAACTTGAATCAAATGAGATAAGTAATTTTTCTGTCATATAATTTCAAATCGCATTTTTCAATGAACGTATGTATGTGTGTAAAATCTTACTTGGGATGCTTATATCTATAAGTAATCATCGTTTCGCTCTTCTTTCCGACCACTTTATTCATTCGATGGTCGGACTGGAGTTAGTGTTGGTGACGCGACGGAACTCATGTGAATGCGAGCGGAGCGTAGAATGGTCGGGACCGAGTTTTCGGAAGTATCGAACGGGTTCCATGTCTCACTCTCGTTCCTTCCCCCTGTCTCCGTGCTCTCCGAGCCCGGTTAGTCCCGGCGAACTCTACTTTGGTGATGGTATCCTGCCGCCCGTGTTGTCCAACGCGTTGCCGAATTTCGGCAATGATTGATGGCTATTAAGGACCGGGCCAAACCCGCGCCGCTCGTAACGCGACGTCCGACTTTTACAAGGCGTCACATTGTGTTTGCGGTTCGTAATTAAAGCGAAAATAAGCGCGTTTATGCGAAACACCAGGGCTGGACCAACGTCGCGTTAGAACCCGCGAGAAAAATATTTCAAAAACAAAACAGTTGTACACAAAAATGTTTATTAAAATGTATTATATATTTTTGCATATCGAGGCTGTTAAATTTTATATTTAATCGAGAACAAATCTGCCCGCGGATAAGAGAGATAGAGCTTCGATAAAAAGTCATCGAATTCAATTTTTCGGAATCAGACAGCAACTAAAGAAAGACGCGTAATATTTTTATACAACAAGTTTGGAGCAAAACTGTGTCGCAAATCATATTACATCATTGTGTATCTTGCGGCAATGTACTTACTCGGGTTTCAACAATATCAAACCGCATCTCGAGAGTGCTCCTTCACTCATGTGTTGTATATAGCCATGTGGCTATAAAAGCCGAATCGCAACGTGATATCGACGCGAATGTATCCCTTTCGGTGTAATTACGTCGAATCGCAATCGATCGTGACTTTGCTTTCAGAAACATCGTCGAATTCAGGACTGCTTGATGAAATTGCAGTTGACGAAGGGCTGCGAAGGGGTGGAGAGATCGATGGTCGGCGAGCAGGAGAGGCGAGCGTCGATGAAAAGGTCAAAGGTTTCAGGTGTGTTTGCGCACGGCTGGTACAGGTGCAGCCTCTTCCGCGGCTCTGCTCGCCGTTGCAACAGCAACATACGTGACTCTTTATTAACAACAATTAACATTTTGTCTATTGTTCTCGTGCGGGAATATCTCTTATCAACGATGTGACGACTCGGCCGGCTTAGCTGAAATAATATCATCCGACCGGATCCGACGGCTCGGCCATACCGAGGTTGAGCTTCGGCGGAGCCGAGAAAATCAGCCGCGATCTTGTAAATTTTGCAACATTAGTGGTAAATTGCGAAGAGTGTTGTAAAATAACGGTTCTTCGTACAGAGCAGAAACGTTCCCAGCAGTTACAGCGGGTTTGCATATATTCTTTTGCAGGTTTGCATATATTCTCATAACGCGTTGCGCGAATGAGAAACGGAGCCGATCGAACAGCAAATCGCGTTGCGCGCGAGAAATTACTGCGAAACATAATGTAATTGACATTTACATATCGCGCATATTTTTCTTAGCTCTATATGTATATACATATATTATATTCTGAACTTTACAATTTACAAAAAACTTGTTATCAATATTAATAATAGCTTGATTGCCAACAAGAAAAAAAGCGTTTCAAATTAAAATTTTTTGTTTTATATACGTTTGATAGCACGTTTTTAGCAACATCGGTTTTATTAGCATAGTTTTACGAACAAGAAACGCTTCTGATGTAGTATTCGAAAATGCAATATTATACGTTTAGTGTGTAATTGATCAATTATTGCGATAGGAACAGTATTTCTTCAGCCGAAGAGCCTTCAGCTTATCCCTCAGCCTGTAACAGGTGGACAAGCATCTAGTGACGAGGCGCACGTCCGCCTCCGAATAAGTCACCTGGTACCAGGCAAGCATATACGACAGCAAGATTTAAGGCACGCGTTATCTCGGGCGAGCCGGCGACGAGTTGCGTTCGAACGGTTCGACTTGCTTGCTCATCGTGCGCTCCCAATCCAAAGATTTACCAGTCGTCGGTTATGTTTGATGCACCATTATGTTTTCGAGATTACGGTAGGTTAGTTGCATCGGTAACGTCATCTCTGTCGTCAGCAACACACCGACGCCGGATGATATACGTCAAACCGGCGGCAGAGCCACGTATTGTGCCGCGTAACGGTAACCTTTGACTATATGTAGCTATATGGACTGTTAGATATCCCCCACTTTTATAAGAGTAAGACAGAGCTTTGGTAAACAAACGATGCGGAGAGAGAAGGACGGAAATAAGTCAGACATCGCTCGCACTAGATAACAATTAACAATGTTTTTTCGATTCGCACGTGTTCTAAAAATAAAAATCTAGAGGAGAATGTTTGGCAACTCGTGTGTTGTCACAAAAATATCGCCAAACACTATTTTTTTTTTTTTTTTCATCCAGAGAAAGTAATCAACATTGGCGCTATTGTACGGATGGTGGTTTCGAAAAGGTCTGTTCTCTTCGGTTTTCACGAAATTCGTAAATAAAACTCCGAATGCTCTTCCACACATAAATAAATGGTAAATTTGATAAAACAGTATAAATGTTCAACATATTTTATATTGCAGGTAGATAATGAAGAACGTTCTTGCGCCGACTGTATCACATCAGCCTGCGGAGCAAGATTTACTCGATACAAGCAATCGAGTGCAGATATAAATTGGTTGGTTTATAAAAGATAGCGAGTAGGTAAAGTCGACGTTTAGAGGATATTTTTGTAGCAGCAAAGCAGAAGTGGCAGAAGCTAGCTGCGCTCTGGTTTCATTGTACATATACGTACGATTATTGCGATATCGCGACGATTGTTGCGACACCGAGCACATACGCGTGTGATTTTATTTACAATTATTAATAGATAATTATTAATAGACACAGACAAGCCACTCCGTTTTTTTGTATAATATATAACATTTAAAACAATCGTAACTTGTCATTATTAAAGTATTCAATAAATAGTTTCGAAAG